TCACACACACACACACACACACACACACACACACACACACTAACACACACACACACTAACACACACACTCACGCACACACTGAGAGTACATCACATTTCAACATCGGAGACCGGCGCTAATCAACAATCGATAGAAAACCTTCTGGCTTCATTAACAACAACAAAAACCCAAACAAAACCAAACAAACCCAAGCCACACGACCGTCTTTCACAAGTCGCTGAGAGCATGGACAGAAATAGACCCCAGGGACAACAGCAGTAGTGGTAGGCAAAATCCGGATAACCGGATAATTGTCAGTGAAACATTATCCGAATTCAGACTCTTAAACTCTTCTTTCATGACCCGTTTAGTTTTTTAAGTTTTAGTAGAGGTTTTACGGCGCTCGCAACTGCATAAGGTCATATGAGCGCCAGAAGATAAGAGGTGTTACAAGAGAGCAACGAACATAAAACAGAACAGGAGGAGATAACAGAGCTTCCAGCAGCTGATGTCATTTTTCGAGGATTTTCGGGTCCAGCGCGGAGCCCTGGCAGGGGGTTGAAGGGGGACAGCGTCCCCTTTATGTTTGAGAAATTTTTGGTTTCAGAGCATCCTAAGTATGCCCTTTCTGGCTATTCAAGCCTAAATTTAACAGAAAATAAGTGAAAAATAAAACACTTTGCATAGGTCTACATAAGTTTCTGCTTGTGTTAATCCATATATTTCCAAATCCAAAGCCATGCTTTCTCCCTTGGCCCTTGTACAGATACTGTACATCCACAACTAGATCTATAAAACTTGACAGTTAATGTTTAACTTTTTTCTGCTCGTGTTGGTTTGCACCATAATCATCATAAGGTGTAGAATCCTTATAATAATAGTATAACAGCTTGACTTGATCTAGATCTAGATCTAATATCTAGCTAGATTCTAGATCTAGATCTAGTCTAGATCTAAATAACTTGACAGCTTATTCAACTTAAATCTACAACAAGACTTACAAATAAACAAGTCTGGTAAAAAAAATATCAAGCTCTCTTTAGAGTTTTCTTTTCTTGGCAGGCCCAAGATCTATTGAACCACAATCGTCATTTCTTCCTCTTGTTTACAGAGCTGGTGCTGTGCTTCTTGTGCTTTAGAAAGTGAAAGTGAAAGACACTGTCTACACTTTCAAATAAAAGAGCACTTCCGGTATGGGTTGGCTATTGTTGACTATTGGTAATAACGGAAATTTTTTATTTCGCATTTTTTAAAATATTTTTTTTTTAAATTAATTTTTTTTTTTTGCACGAATTTTCACGGAAATTTTTTCATTTGCGGAATTCTGCTAATTTGCGGAAATCCGCAAAATTGCGGAAGACTGGAAGCCCTGAGATAAGGACGATAGATGTTTGATAGGAAAGAAGGAGCAAACCGCACCAGAGCACCCGCCAACCACCCACATGACCCGTTTGCCGAAGTGGGTGCACCCATTTCTTGAAATGGTTATAAAGTAACCCATTTGCCGAAGTAGTTCATAACACATTTAATCGCCGAAGAGGAGTACTAAAATATTATCCGGATATTGCTAAAGCGACTCATTGCCCAGCCCTACACAACAGACGATACTGCAAGGAGACCCCCACCAAACTGACATCATTATATTAGAGGTGTGCAAAACCCGGATAAATTATCCGGTTAACCTGATAATTCTCAATGAAACATTATCCGAATTCAGACTTTTAACTCTCTTTCCAGACCTGTTTGCCGAAGTGGGGGCACCCATTTGTTGAAGTGATGATAACCCGTTTGTCGAAGTGGTTCTAACCCATTTGCTGAAGTGGTTCACATCATATTATTTGCCGAAGAGGTGCACAAAGATAGTATCCGGATTTTGTTAAAGCGACTCATTGCCCAGCCCTATTATAGAGGCACGCCGGCTCGCTGCCGCTACATTAGTCGTGTGTGGTTCAGGTGGTTTGAGTAACGGTTTTACGGCACTTGCAACACAATAAGGTCATTTAGTTGATTTAGGTGCCGATGGACAGATGTTTAGTTTTGAGTTTAGGTAAGAGTTTCACGGCACTTGCAACACGAATACGTCATAAAAGTGCCGACGGACAGAGGTGTTTAGTTTTTAGCTTCTTTACAAGTTTTGCGGCGCTTTGCAACACAATAAGGTCACTTAAGTGCCGAATCATAGAGGTGTTACAAGAGAGTGATATACACAAAAAAAGGAGGAGAGACAAGGACGATGTAAATGTTTGATAGGAAAGAAGGAGCAAACCACATTAGAGCACTCGCCATCCATCCACTTGGCTATTTCAGTCTTGTGGTTCTGGTAGTTTTTTAGTGAGGGTTTTACGGCACTTGCAAAACAATTCGGTCATTAAAGTAGCGATAGACATGGCGTGATTTGTTGGTTTTACTTTAGATAAGAGTTTTACAGCACTTGGAACACGAATACGTCATATGGGTGCCGTTGGATAGAGGTGTTTAGTTCTTTTGGGTTTTTTTTACAGTAGAGGGTTTTACGGCGCTCGCAACTGCAAAAGGTCATATGAGCGTCAAGGGGTGGGTGTCAACAGAGAAGTCTTTACAGGGAATCAGACTTAGACTGCCCACCTCTCTAGCTTCAAAAGCACAAGGTCTGCTTCGACTATCAAGGCACCCCGGAAATAGCAGATCACAAGAGAGTGACAAACATACAAACGAAGTAGAGGAAAATGACAATAGTAAGGATCAGGAAAGAAAAAGCAGCAGTTCCCTGTTGTAGATCAGGCACAGTTATGAGCGTGACGTGAGTCAGCCCATTTACAATTTTACTATGCTTGAACGAGCAAT